AAAATCGACATCATGCATCTCTGGAAGGTTGTAGGAGCATTACACAGCCCAAAAGACATTCTGCGATATGCAAAAGTGCCATAGGGACAATTAAAAGTGGTCTTCTCCTGATTATCTGGATGGATGGGGATCTGAAAGAAGCCTGAATACCCATCAAAGAAGCAGTAATACTTGTGATTCGCCAGCCTCTCTAGCATCTGATCGATGAAAGGCAGAGGAAAATGATCCTTCCTTGTTGCTGCATTCAGTTTCCTGTAGTCTATGCACATCATGTGTCCTGTCACAGTCCTGGTTGGAATCAGCTCATCCTTGTCATTCTTTACCACTGTGACACCTCCTTTCTTAGGCACCACGCGCACTGGACTCACCCGAGCACTGTCTGATATAGGATAGATGATACCAGCCTGCAACAACTTCATGATCTCTTTCTTGACCACATCCTGCAAATTCGGATTCAGCCTCCTCTGGTGCTCAACTGATGATTTCGACTCATCCTCCAAGTGTATCCTATGCATGCACAAGTCTGGGGAGATACCTGAAATGTCATCAAGAGAATAGCCAAGAGCTTTGCGAAATTTTCGCAGCTTACTTAGCAAAAGGGTGAGCTCTGCATTGTTCAATGAAGCATTTACAATAACAGGATAGGTGGAGTTTTCTCCCAGAAATGCGTACCTTAGCCCTGCAGGGAGCTGTTTAAGCTCAACTTTTGGTGCTTTTGCTGCAGACCAATCAACCACTGTGGCAACTTTCGCAGATGTGGAGACAAACTCATCCTGTGCAACCAGTTGCATCACTTGTGCAGTAGCATCCATCATCTTTGTGTAGCCTGTTGCAGCAGCATCTAAATGCTCATACTCAGCTGTAGAAGTGGTCAACGCCTTTCCAAGGGATCCTCTGAACTCATCTCATGGAAGATCTGATCAGCAATGTTTGTGAGAACATCCACATAAAAAGTCTGTCCATCTATGGTTGGCCTCTTCATCAGCTTGTCCATTTCGAATTTCATCACTAAATCGCCAACATTCAGCTCTATTCTACCCTTCCTGACGTCAATAATAGCTCCTGCAGTAGCTAAGAAGGGTCTGCCAAGAATCAAGGGGTCTTTGGGCTCTTCTCTATACTCTATAACCACAAAATCAGTAGGGATCATACAATCTCCTATTTTGATAGGAACATCCTCTATCACTCCTTCAGGAACTCTGACTGATCTATCAGCTAGGACAAGAGATATCCTTGTAGCCTTAAAATCGGTCATCTCCAAACTCTTGGCAACAGAATGAGGCATGAGGTTCACACTAGAACCAAGATCACACAATGACCTCTCAAACTTGTCATTGAAGATAGTGCAGTCTAAAACAAAGCTTCCTGGGTCTGAAAGCTTCTCTGGAACTCTGTTCTGAATCACTGCACTGACCTGCTCGTTGATCATCATAGCTCCAACCTCAAGACTCAAGTTATTGGTCACCATCCTCTTCACATACCTCCTTATAACAGGAGTGATCCTTACAGCATCTATCAATGGGATCTCTATTACCAACTTGTCCATGATAGCCTTGCATCTTGCATCTTCAAGCTCTTGCTTAGACTTCTTAGGATGCTTAGGATAGGGTATCTTGGGTTTATACACGGTCTTCTTAGCATTATCTGAAGTCTTAGGCGAAACTGCAGCATGTGGTATCTGGTGACGAGCGTCACTGGAATGGTGGCGAGCGTCACCCAATTTGGACGAGTCGGGATTGATCACTGGATATGGGTGACGAGCGTCACCCATCTGGTGACGGTCATCACCAATTTGTGAAGATTCGGGGTCGGGGTTGTGCTCGATGGGTGACGAGCGACACCCATTATTGGTGACGAGCGTCACCCGTGGTTCTTCAGCAAATATTTCTTCATCTTCATACTCTTCCATACCCACGAAATTCCTTGATGTTAAATCCTTCTGCAACACTGGTTGCAGGTTCTTTCCACTCCTCAATGTGATGGCATTCACATGGTGTTTGGGATTAGCATCAGTTCTTCCTGGAAGAAATCCTTCTTGCCTCTGAACAGCTCCTGCAGTTTGGGCAACTTGAACATCAAGCTTCTTCATATGAGAGTTCAAACTCTCAATTTTTCCATTCAAATCCTGATAGAGCGAATCTATCTTGCCATTAAAGTCCACTGTAAGCTTCTGTTGTCCTTCCAAGATCTGTTCTAACATTGCTTCCATTTTATTCCCTTATGGAGGTGCTGGTTGATAGGAAGAAGAACCATAGTTTCTGTAATTTCCACTGTTCTGGAATGGCTTCTGATACTCTGTCTTCTGGAATGGGGGTCTAGGAGTGAAACCAGGCGTGCTCTGTCCTCCTGTAAGGGCGTTCTTCTGATTATTATTGCTGTATCCTCTGTTCCACTGTTGATTCCCATACCTTTGTCCCTGAAAACCACCAGAATTGATGAAATTTACATCCTCCTGCTCAACTTCCTCTGGAGCTTCGAAAGTTTCCACTTCTGCAGCGAAGTGAACCGAATTCTTCCCCACCAAAAGGCTGTGCATATCATCCAACTTAGCCTTAACTTCAGCAATCTGATTTCCATCAGCTACACCACCTTGTTTCATCCTCTGAAAGTCTGCATTTTTAGTGATGTTGCTGCAGACCAAGTTCTCAATCAGTCTGATTGCCTCTTCTGGTCTGTTGGTGTTGAAGTTTCCTGCACTTGCTGCATCCAGTGCCATCTGATATTTCCAGTCAATGCCTCTGAAGAAAATCCCAAGTAATTGCACCTGACTGTAACCATGATGAGGACAGTCCCTTTGATAAGACTTGAACCTGATCCAAGAGGCCTTGAAAGCTTCAGTAGGGCCTTGTGTAAATGATGCAATTTTCGTCCTCATGTTGTCTGATCTTGCATCATCATAGAAGTTGTTCAAAAAGGCATTCTTGGTGTCTTCCCAAGTGGTCAATGAAGCAGGTTCCAGTTGCTTCAGCCAATATGCAGCTTCTCCTTCAAGAGAGTAAGGAAAAAGCTTGCAGAACAGAAAGTCATTGCTAACCCCATTAGCTTTGACACTGGAAGCCAAGTCCTCAAATCTCTCTATATGATTCATAGGATGCTCATGAGGTAAACCATGGAATGGATGCTGGCCAACCAGCTGATAGTAGACTGGTTTAACCTCAAAATCGTTCCTCTGGAAGGCAGGAGGTCGAATTGCAGCTTTGTTGGCATAGACCTGATCAGGTCTGTTGTAGTCACCTAGAGTCCTCTGAACAAAACGCCCAGCAGCGTTATTGACAGCAGCAAGGACTCCCACGTTCTCAGCCACTTGCTGAACCTGCTGTTCAACAATGACATTCCCCTCTTGATCAATTCTCTGCCCCTCTTCGTTCCTCCTATTTCCTTCCCTGTAAACTAAGTGACCTTCTGCATCTTCAACCAAGATAAGTGGAGCGACCATTGTAGATTGCTTCTTAGCTTTCCTGTTAGTTCTCTCCAACCTAGCAAGCTCGTCGATGCTCAAAGTCACAAGCTCTTTCTCTTTGTTGCTTCTGGTTCTGCGATTAGGCATACACCTGAAACAGGAACAAAGAAGAGTAGCTGAAAGTCAGTAAACAAATAAAAACTTAGACAAAATCCTAATACTAAAAATCGATAGGCAGCTATTACTCCCCGGCAACAGCGCCAAAAACTTGATAGGGCTCAGGTTTTACCCAAATAAAACTACTGCAAGTGCACAGCAAAAGCAGTTGTAGTACAAGGGGTATCGAAATCCCATGAGAGTAATGCAGACTACACTATCGAATGTAGATTCAGATTAAGCTAAGCAAGATATGATGTATGTAATGCGAATGAATGAATGAAAGTAAGCAAACGATTTTGTAAGATATTCTAAGTTCCAGAAGACTAAAAGCGGTAAGTCAGGGTAGTTCGCAGGTTGAATCCAAGAATGTATGATGCAGGAAATCAGGAATGATTAAGAACCGTTTTAAACATGAATCACTGATGTATAACTAATCAATTCTCATTGCAAAAGTTATCTATGCCTAAATCACAGAGTTTCAAATCTCTTTGCAAACTCTAACAACCTAAGCATGCAGGAATGATCAGATTCAATTGTTTACAAAACTCCTAAGCCAAATCTCTTTGCACTAAGTTGCTTTGCTCATCAAATACTAGTTCAGGTTATGAATAATGCTCTCACATATATTTAACAACCTATAATTTTCGGATTCCTAGATGATGTGTCTCAGAAATTCGATTTTAAAGCAAGCAGAGATGAAAAACCATAAGATATTCCTAACAGATAGCGATTCTACACTCTTTTCATCAACCTTTGAAAAACCCTAACTTAACTAGCAGATTACTCAGACATGATTATGAGATCACAAAACATAACTGAATAAAATTGCATTAAGAGAAAGAGTAAGAAATAAAGGGGGTTCGAAATCTTCTCAAAAGAGTACAGGATTTGTCTCCCCAAAAAGCTCTGAATAAATCTCTCTCTAAGCTCTCTGAATTCTCAAAAACTAAGATAATAGCAAACAATGGCTGAAAAACCTAATAAATAGAGGCTAAACACGATCTGGGGTCTTCATGTAAATAAAGGAACTTCTGGGCCAATTCTGCAAATCTTCTTCATACTTTTAATAAAACAGCCACGCTCCTTCTTTGATGGGTGACGAGCGTCACCAAAGGTGGTGACGAGCGTCACCATATGTGATACTTTCTGCTTCGAGCTTGGTACTTCGTTGCTTCAACCCAGAATGCTCCAAAAGGTTCCAAAATCTCCAATTATGCTCCAGACATGCTATAACCTGCAAAGACTCTACTAGGACTCTAAAAAAGACCAAAAAGACTCAATAAAAAGGAATTATATCATGGTTAAAAACCATAAAAACCATGATATATCAGTTTCCTACTGCAGCATTAGAGTGGCAGTTGGCGCATGACAGGGAGGACTGGTTTTTAACCATTTTCTTTGAACAGTTTGAGCAAGAGATGTAGTTCCAGCCATTAAGAGATTAGCTGCCCACAACTTTGGTGGTGCAGAAGAATTCAGCGTCCTTCAGTAAGACATTTGAAATTTCTGATTCTAGTGTGTGGATAGGGACATTAAAACGTTTTGTAAGGTATTAGTATGTGATTTAAATATACCTGGGTGATTGAAGTAGTATGGTAGTGGTTCAGTTCTGCAATGGATGACTGCTCTATTTTTTGGACACCACTGTATTTCACGTCAGAGTTGTTTTTTGTGTCTCTGGATATCAAGCTATTTCAATGGTGTCACTGTTAGATGTGAAAATGAGACGAAGGTTAAGAGGGTGAGTGTATAGAATAACCTCTCAGCAAAGTTGTGAGTTGCTTGAATCCCAGCGTCAAAGTAAAAATGTGTGGCAGATGTGGCATTCAGGTACATTTCACCTACAATTGAGTGTCTGCAAATACATGTTAGTGTAAATGATTTAGCTCATTTTGACTGAAGTAAACATTCACGGATCTATGTAGGAGCTAAAAGTTTTTATTGGAAAAGCTTAACCTCCAAAAAAAATTTGGGTTGATATTGGTAGCAAGCATGATGCATGTCCCCGTTGCTTTCTTCTCCAGGCTGCTGTTGAGTATTGCAGCGTGATCATCAAAGGCACTAAGAAGGACCTTTTCGCTGCTGTATGATTTGTAAGTTTCAATATGATATTAGAAAGAGATGCTGCAAGAGAAATATGGAGACTGATATGAGGGACTCAAACCTTTGGAGGCACATATAGACTAAGAGTCGTTCTATTTTTAGTGTGGATTCATTGCGGTACGCTTTACTTGAACATACTGCACCAATCACATCTGCCGTATGAATGCGTTCAAGTATTTAGTAAATGATGAAGTGTCCTGTAAGTGAATATAGCTATGAGTTGAAGCTTGGAATGCAAAATGAATACCTGGGAGGTCCTTGTTGGTGTTGGCTAAGCTGAGAAGCTGGTCGTGAGTACGGAACCTGAATAAATCTTTTGGAATTTGAGTGAAGGAGTCGTCGATGAGAACCATAGTAGTAGTTTGGTTGAAGCGAATGGAATTTTTGAAATCAGTGAGCTTGAATCGTGGATTGCTCTTTGTGACCTCAAATCCAATGATAACATAGATGGAACCTTCATTCAGCAGGGGTTGAAACTTTGGGAGATGCTGAATGTGTATTGTACCTTGCATCAACGTCGACAAAATGGCAGATTTGTTTGAGAGTATGATTATAAACAAACTATATAAGAAGTACGGTGGGAGAAGTGAAGAATTGACCTTATCGTCAAGCAAGAGGAAATCTACACCCATGAGTTATCCATTTTTTTGACGTTGCAAGTATCCCAATACCGTAAGAGCCTCCCTACAACACGCTGTACAGCACGGTCGGACTTGAGCTCTGAGAATGCGAGATAGGTACATGCCATGATTTTGTTGTTGGGATAATTTAGGGGTGAAAATATGGAGAGATAAGGGATGCTTTAGGATGGTATTTGTAGGGCGGGTGAAGGGGAGCAATTGAGTGTGCGAGTTGAGTAGTGGGGGTCGCATTGAAGGTGGTATAATGAAAGAACGTGGAATTACAGCTTAGGAGTTGTCGTTACGAATATCAGCTTTTATTAAGAAAGAGATAAGCTGATGCGACCGCCATGGGAGATGAATGTGTTGGGTTCCGATGATTTATTTTTTTGGGCCTGGGGTACACCAAACTCTCAATGAGAAGTGGGCCTTAAAGTATTCAGTTTTGTTTGGAAAATATGGATTTAATTAGTTATGTTGCAAGCTGGAAATAGATATACGTGGACGATTGGTTTAATCCTCTACCTATTAATTGACAATGTAGTTTAATAAAATATGCTGATTTGTTTAAATTTCATTGGTTTAAAACATCAATCTAACCTAATTAAATGTGACATGAAAATGATGATGTGTAATGATGATGTAATTATGACATGGCATTTGCTAACACATGTGGATTATGACATGGCAAAAAAATGTAGGTGTTTAATTTATTTTAGTTCAAATAATTATTTTATGAAAATTGAAAAATATAAAATATTTAATTACTAATATAAATTGTAAACTGTCGTTTTTATCACATGCACAAAACATATGTTATATTTTTTTATTACATGCACAGGTTTGTACACGTTAAATTGTATAAAAATTATATCTTCATCACATGCACCGACTATATAATCTAAAGTAACATTAATTGTTACTAAAGAACCCATTTTTGTTGTCCACACAAAACAGAAGCTAAAAAATATACAAAGAGAAGTTAGAGTATACCACGTTTTGTTAACCGAAGTATGATTATCTACTTTTAACAGTCTTTTTGAGATTGCCGTTCCGCAATATAATCCAAAGCAACATTAATTGTATCATCAAATTGTATAAAAATTATGAGAATTGTCTTCATCACATGCACCGACTATATAATCCAAAGTAACATTAATCTAACAATGTTTAACTAAAGAGTCCATTTTTGTTGTCCACACGAAACATAAGCTAAACAAACATACAAAGAGAAGTTAGAATATATTTAAGTTCAAATAATTTTATGTGTTTAATTTATTTTAGTTTAAATATTTGTTTTATACAAAGAAGTCTTCGAGAATTTCGGGTTAAATAACTGAATAAATTGAGGAAGATTAATTGAAGACGAAGAAGATGATGAAATTTGCATGTATGTACGCCTGATCCGCAAATCCGCAGCAGGTAACTTGCTCAACCAGCTATCCACGAGTCTGACCCATTTGGCCCTTTAACATAATAAAATAGACCTTTTGTTATAATGAAATATTTAGTCAAAATTATACCATATTTTGCTATTAGGATCGATAATTTAATCGCCCTACTTAATTTTTTATATATTACAAAAAATTAAAATATTTATAACGATTTAGATATTTATGTAATTAAATTTTTAAAACTGTTTATGCTTGCACATGCGTACGGGCCAAACTCCTAGTTTAGTTATATATGGAGATGAATTGTTAAAACTTAGATGGAGAGACAGCTGGCTGCTGAGGTGGAGGCATGAGATGAGATAACAACTCTCTTTATGTATATAGATATCCTCTACCTATTAATTGACAATGTAGTTTAATGAAATATGCTGATTTGTTTAAATTTCATTGGTTAATAACATCAATCTAACCTAATTAAATGTGACATGGAAATGATGATGTGTAATGATGATGTAATTGTGACATGGCATTTGCTAACACATGTGGATTATGACATGGCAAAAAAAATGTATGTGTTTAATTTATTTTAGTTCAAATAATTATTTTATGAAAACTGAAAAATATAAAATATTTAATTACTAATATAAATTATAAACCGTTGTTTTTATCACATGCACAAAACATATGTTATATTTTTTTATTACATGCACAGATTTGTACACGTTAAATTGTATAAAATTATATCTTCATCACATGCACCGACTATATAATCTAAAGTAACATTAATTGTTACTAAAGAACCCATTTTTGTTGTCCACACAAAACAGAAGCTAAAAAATATACAAAGAGAAGTTAGAGTATACCACGTTTTGTTAATCGAAGTATGATTATCTACTTTTAACAGTCTTTTTGAGATTGTCGTTCTGCAATATAATCTAAAGCAACATTAATTGTATCATCAAATTGTATAAAAATTATGAGAATTGTCTTCATCACATGCACCGACTATATAATCCAAAGTAACATTAATCTAACAATGTTTAACTAAAGAGCCCCTTTTTTCTTGTCCACACGAAACATAAGCTAAAAAAACATACAAAGAGAAGTTAGAATATATTTAAGTTCAAATAATTTTCTGTGTTTAATTTATTTTAGTTTAAATATTTGTTTTATACAAAGAAATCTTCGAGAATTTCGAGGTTAAATAACTGGATAAATTGAGGAAGATTAATTGAAGACGAAGAAGATGATGAAATTTGCAGGTATGTACGCCTGACCCGCAAATCCGCAGCAGGTAACCTGCTCAACCAGCTATCCACGAGTCTGGCCCATTTGACCATTTAACATAATAAAATGGACCTTTTGTTGTAATGAATTATTTAGTCAAAATCATACCATATTTTGCTATTAGGACCGATAATTTAATCGCTCTACCTAATTTTTTATATATTACAAAAATTAAAATATTTATAACGATTTAGATATTTATGTAATTAAATTTTTAAAACTGTTTATGCCTGCACATACGTACGGGCCAAACTCCTAGTTTAGTTATATATGGAGATGAATTGTTAAAACTTAGATGAAGAGACAGCTGGCTGTTGAGGTGGAGGCATGAGATAAGATAACAGCTCTCTTTATGTATATAGATATTGTAGTAAATGAAAAATTTAATGACAGGCTAAATTAGGATTCTGTTGAAAGTTGTAAGACCACTACAAATTAGTAAAGACGTGATTCAATATGATGAATTAGAGCAGTTAATAAGAAAACATGAGAGGAAGCAAGAAACTTGGATAAAATATTTGTTTCTAAGAAGACGTAGAAAGTTATAAGCTGAGACTCAGCGGTTTTATTCATTTTACTTACAAATTACAAACCCAACAATAAAGGACTAATTTATGAGACAATATATAGCTTTTTCTATAATTCTATAACTATCTAGAATTGTGAATCAATTCCGATAAGCAAAACTGACAGCAATGAGGATGAGAGGTATATATAGCCAATATCATCGCAAGTACAGAAACAAGAGCAGGAAGAAAAATGGCACCCCAAGATTGTTCTTATATTGTTTTTCTTCTAACCTTATTCTTTTTTTTTGTTCATACTTGTATATTGTTCCGGGCTTCACTTAACTGATTTTTCTTTCATCTTTCTCTTACCGTTCACCTTATTGTAACTTTAAACTAATGTTCCATATCTTAGACATGGCTGCTAGGCATCTATATCTGTTGGACGTAGTTTAACATAAATATGTTGTATATATGAAGTTATGAACATTTGGTATGTGACGTACATTATGTCGTCATATACATTTGTCGTTTCACATAATATATCTTGAGTATAATATGAAATGGATGTCCCTTGCGATGATAGATTTCTAAATAAATTAAAAGAATATAAACTCACCCTTTTGTATTGGTTCTGGTGTAATGACAATATTAGGTATTTCAAATTTTGAATTCTTTGGGGTTTTCCACCTGTAAGATAAAATATAAAATTGATTAGTTAGGATATAGAAATGGTCTGGTGGATAAGATTAATGGACACTTGTGTTGTTTTAAAGACGGGGTTTCATTTAGATTTTCATTTTTTGTAGTATTATTTTGCCAAATTGGAGTTCTTTGTTTTTCGAAACAAAAGCAATTCGCTTTAAAGAGAGAAGTGCATAGTTTCTGTAACAATGAGAAATCTCAATGATTTTATTTGTTCGTTTAGTTCTAATAAAAAAAATGAATACTTAAGCTGTTTAAAAGGAGGTGTTTTGTTAAGTTTCTCTACGTTTGATGTACCTTTTTGCTTCATTGAATTTCCTTAACTTTTTGGCCAAAAAACTTGGAAAAGCACGATAACAGAATATGTTAATCGAACATGGATTATCATTGTATTGTCACCGTCTTTGCCACAAAAGATTATGTGTTCTTATAAATTTTCAGATTTGTCACCATCATCAAAAGAGAATATGCGATCTTCGCGAGTCCGGAGAAGTCGTAACACGTCTCCAACTTCTACGACGTAGTCTTATAATTTGACGACATCTTTTCCTTACACGCAATGAAAAGTAGACTATGGACGAAAATCTTCTTAATCACGGTGCATATGATATCTAGTATGTGGGAGGATTCAATTCAAACCAAGATAGAGATCCGGCGTGTATTTGACGCATTTGGAGATGACCGGCGAAGTTGCTTGCGTAAGAATGGAGGCAGTTGGAGAAAATGTTATTGTAGGTGTTGGCGAGTACGACGGAAAAGAGAGTTTGGCAGATCCAAAGCTGACAATTCCGGCAATAGAATATGTTTGATCCATTGGAACACTGAATTTCTGATACAATAAATGTTAAATATTCAAAAAATCATATAATAAAATCTGTTACCTCAAATACAACGTGATGCTTAAAAGGAGTTAATTGGAATTTGCAGTAATTTAGGTGTATATTAAGGATGATATATTTGTTTCTGATAGATTCTAAATGTTTGGTGATTTGGTGTTTCA